ATTAAATTCTTATAAAACTAATTAAAAGTTGCATAGATTGTTAAGGGAAACTTTAACAATACTCTTCATTTTTTACTAGCTAAAATATAAAAAGGTGTAATTCTTTATTTTGCTTAATTCATTTTTTAACTATGTACTTGAGAGGGTAATTTGTATAGACAAATTGGACCGAGCTAGGTGAAAGGGTTTTTGAGAGTTAGACCGAATAACGAACTGTGATAACGGTTCAGATAGCCCAGTATTGGGCTAAATCTGTTAAAGACCAGTCAAAGATGGTTGTTAGGGTATAGACTTAACTATTTATGCACGGTCAATAAGCAGACCGAGGTAACTTCAATGGAGAAGGCAGAGCTAGCTGTAGCTCAACAGAGCGCTACTCTATGCTCAGATTTAACACTACTCGGCTCGAAAGTAGAACAAAGCAAGATAGCTTGGTTGAGTGCAGCAATAACCGAGCAAAGAGTTTTGTCCATCTTACATGGTTAGCAGTGAGCGTGTTCCAGGGATAAGCATTATCCTTTAGGAATGGGACTCTGCTAAGGAGAATTAGAGTCCTACTAGGATTGTGTCACGTGAAATCTATAAAAACTCATAACATAACCTATTCCCAAGTATGGCAATTCATATTCTCGAATTCACAAAGCTTTAGTGTATTTTGTCAACTTGTTGACTTAGGCATCAAAGGGGTTTTCGGCATACACCAGCCAGCTAGCTCACGTTTGTGTTTTCAGGTGATAAGATGACGACGTTTGGAGGAGTGCAAACTTGATCAGCAAGATTATACGGGAAGGATTATTTTGTGCTCGTACAGTACTCCAAAACTACTCTTTATTTTACCTATTTATGTACACAAACTGTTTAAAGAGTCTCAAAAGACTCTTCAAATGTAGCTAGTCTTGAAGAATTGTGTTAAAATAGCTATTCTAATAGCTAGTTCATTGGAGTGACTAAAATACAATAATACTAACTATAATAGCTATAATAAGTCTGATTTAAAGAGTTTATTAAGATGCTCTTAGTAAAAGAGATTTTTACCAAAAATAATAAATTTTAGCAATGACAGTTATTTGTTACTACTGTTGATTAGAGAAAAAATGGTTGAAGTAATTGAAAGGCGTTCAATCAATAGGGAGATGACAACATATTTATTATGTGTCTTCTTGTGTACCAAAAGTGACATCAACAAATTTCAAACATATCTCATCTCTAACCTCACACATTATCTTTTCACCCACCTACTTCATATATCATTCATTGTCTGTTTCTCTCTCATTCCTTGTTTTTCTTTCATCTTTTCCATCATTACAAAGGAGGATAGTGGTAGTGGAATGGGAAATAGAGGGGGTAAGAGTAATGGAGGCATGAAAAATTACAATGTTTTAGGACCTACTACTATCAAGGTTGTACAGAAGGTCCTATGGCGCGATATATATATATATATATATATCTCACACATACATACACATCAAAGCTAGTCCAAGGTGGTGACACCCGTGGGGTGTTACATTGAGCAGTGCTCTTGTCTTTAGCCACCAAGCCACAAAATTTCATAGTCTCGCAATGCCTTGTCGAAGATTTCAGCATATCTAAATCCCTCATTTGATTTACATATTCGAAATAGTGTGGTACGACTATTGTGTAGGTAAGGCCCATATGGTATGACCCATGAAACCCTACAATTTTCTCACAAGAACATGCCATGACAAACACAATAATATAACCAAAAAGTCATCTTTCTCATTGAACTAAGAGTTAAGAGATTACAATTCACCATGTATGTTTCCACAATACTTGGGATTCGTATCCCAGTTCAATGAATTAGATAGTCTTACAAAATATAAGCCTTTAGGGCATACAATACAACAAAACAATTCAATTTTTGATAGTCCTGTTGCAAAAATCCCATATTCAAAATAACAAAACATCCATGAGTCAACTTTTCCCAAAAGGAGCTATTGCTTGTTTTAATCCATCAGTAAGGTGGTATTTCATTAACTTCTGAAAAATAAAATATGGTTGAACTATATGCCCAATAGGAATATAATTAACCAAGTATTTAATCCTTTGAATAAGATTATGGTATCTTTGTGGCAAAACATTACAAGGAAATTTGTCTTCACATGTAACCTTCATCAATCATATAGATTCATGATAACCAAACAGTGACAACTACAATTCATGTCATTAAGCATAATAATTAAACAATCACAATCATAGAAAGCAAGCCATAAGCCCATCTGTAAGAGTCCAATTCAAAACACCCTCTGCTTTTGTTTTAAAAACTGCCCCCACATTTGTCGGTTATTATACGGTAGGGAGTGGACACCTAAAGAAAACCATTCGTTTTTCCACTTTTGCTGGTTACAATACAGCAGGACTTTGTGGACATCCAAAAATATTTTTCCCACATTCATCCAGCAATAAGCCTAGATAGGGCATTTGGGCACCTTTTTAAACTCCCCGCGTGGGTACCAACACAACACCACATTTCCAAAACCAACTCTTACCTGGACTCATGCACAATAAACAATTCAATCACATTTTGTTCCATCAACAAGCATCCACATTACAAAGGAACGGAATACAACACAATATTCAAAAAAAAATAACATCCAAGCCACAAATCCTTTACTATATCAACATCTACGTCTTTTATCTCTTTATTATTCACAATATTCCATGAATCAATGGAAATTCCATTCAATTTAGTGTTTTCTACTCAAGTTGAGAATTTAGGGTTTTACCAAATTTGGGAGTTTTTCTCCTTCATCATACATATACGTTTTAACAACATTTATATACATGTGTTTTAAAAAAAGAATTAAGAAATTTCAAGTAAAATGGTTTATTTGTGTAAAACATGAGTTTAATCCAACAAGATCCTCAAATTAGCTCATAAGTCACAACAATACCATGAAATCTCTTCAAAATAAAAAAAATACTAGGGTAAAAGTACCCATACCTCAAGTTGTGAAGAGGAAAACTCGAAAAACCCAAAGTCTACGAAACCACGAACTTCCTGGATTAATAGAAAGCCCCTGACAAGATCTACAATCTTCCTCAAAGGACCCAGGTGAGAAGATACTTCTAAATAAGTAGAACTAAAGATCCAAGTAGGAAAAGTTGAGCTTAGATTGAAAGAAGAGAGACTCACGGTTTGAGAGGAAAAAGGAGAGGAAAATAATGAAAGAAAAGTGGTTTGAATTTATTTATAGTAGTAGAAAAGTAGCCCTAAGATCATTGAAAAAAATAAGTCCAACACCCCTCCAAAAGTAGGGCCTAAACGAGCCCAAAATTCTGGAAATAACACGCAGGGGTCGACCCCTAGTGTGGTGGTGTCGACCTTTCAGAAAGAAATGACAATGTTGGCAGCAGGCAAGGCGTCACCCCTTGAACTAGAACGGTTGACACTAAATTTCAGCAACTAATACTCGGATTCTGCAGTATACAAGGGTTGACCCTTCCCAGACTGGTGTCGACCCCTGAGGCCAACCATAATAGACAAGTGTCGACACCACTAAGGCTGATGTCGACACTAAATTTCAATAACTCTTCCAAAACACAACAACAGGTAAGGGTCGACCCTTAGGAAGGCTAGTGTTAACCCCAAAACAGAATTTCTAAGTTCCCAGCGAACTTTTCGACAAGAACATGTGCGAACAAACAAACCCTAACAAGTTTAAATCAAATTACACTCTTCCAAAACCAATATACAATAACTTAAAAGACTCATAAAAGAAAATAAAGGGATTAAATACACCTTCCAATAAATTAAAACATCCAAGTGTTACATGACCATTGCGAGTAGATGGAGTTAGGTAAATCATTTTGAGATCCTTGGTAACCTCATCTTTGCACAACATGAACTTCCCTTTTGAGACATATGTACATTTATCTTAACTACCATCAAGTTCCAAGAATATTATTTGATGCATTGAGTTAGCTAATATGTTAATGGTGGTAGATATGTGAATATGCTATTGGATTCTACATTCAGATTAGTGAGTGTTGATTTTGAAAATGTATCATCTGATGCATCTTAATTTTGGTTCATAAATGCAGACACGTAGGTTTGATATGCTTGCAAGTTGCATTTATACCGTTGGTAATTAAAAAGAAATGAGAATGATGACATAATAGACTTTATTAATATTTCCATCCCATATGCTGGAATATATATACAAAGCAATCTTGATCATATCTCCATGATCATGCTAATCACATCCCCTTGATCTTGCAATTATATCATTTAGTCAAGCTATACAACAAAATAAGGAAACTATATTTTACATGTGCACTAATTTATAGGCACAAATCATGTGGTGTTGACTTGATCGTCCTTAATACTCCCCCCTCAAGTTGTGGTGTATATTTAAGACACCCAACTTGCCAAGTAAAAAATGGAACTTTGATGCACTGAGAGTCTTTGTAAAGAGATCTGCTGGTTGTTGAGTGGTAGACACATGAGCTGTTTGAACAACATCAGCTTGGACTTTTTCACAAACTAAGTGACAACTTATTTCTACGTGTTTTGTTCATTCATGAAAAACAGGATTTGAAGCAATATGAAGAGCTGCTTTGTTGTCACAATATAGCTTGACGGGTTGTGTGCGTTTCACCTTTAAATCTTCTAACCTTTGTTTCAACCAAGTTATCTCACAACAAGTTGCAGCCATAGAGCTGTATTCTGATTTAGCTGAGGAGCGAGAAACAGTTGTCTGTTTTTTTGTTTCCCAAGATATAAGCGACTAACTAAGTAATATGCAACATCTAGTAATTGATCGTTGAGTATCTCTACACCGGGCCCAGTCTGCATCACAAAATGCCTCTAATTGAATTGAACTAGTGGCTGATAAGAGAATTCCTTGGCCTAGCATTTGCTTAATGTATCTTAATACTGGATGAGCTGCATCTAGATGAGGTACACGTGGTTTGTCCATGAACTGACTCAATATATGTACTGCATATACCAGATTTGGTCGTGTGATGGGCAAATAAATCTAACGACCAACAAGTCTGCGATATGAAGAAGGATTGGTTATTAGCTCTCTATCATTCTCATTAAGCGTCAATTTTTGTTCCATAGGAAACTTAGATAGTTTTGCACTTAGAAATCTCGTGTCTTTGAGAATTTCAAATGCATACTTCATTTGTGACAAGAAAATTCCTTTTGTTGAACGGGCAACCTCTATGCCCAAGAAATATTTCAAGTTCCCAAGATCCTTTAACTTGAAACGATCATTTAAGAATTTCTTGAGTTCTTGAATTTGCTCCAAATCATTTCTTATCAGGATGACATCATCTATAATAGGCAAGAATAACAGTGAAACTACTTCCATTTAAGAGAACAAATAATGAATAATCTGCCTTACATTAATTGTATCCCGCATCATTAATGGCTGTTGAGAACTTTACGAACCACTGCGTTGATGCTTGTTGGAGACCATACAATGATTTGTTGAGTCTGCATACTCTTGTCTCCCCCTTTCCTCCGAAGGCAGGAGGAAGATGCATGTAAACTTCCTCTTCAAGGTCTCCATGTAAAAATGCATTATTGACATCAAGTTGGTAAAGGTGCCATCCTTGAATGGCTGCAAGTGCAAGCAAGACACGCACGATCACTAATTTGGCAATAGGGGCAAGTGTTTCTCTATAGTCAAAACCTTCGGTTTGATTGTAGCCTTTAGCAACTAGGCGGGCTTTGTATCTCTCCATTAAGCCATCTGGTTTATACTTGATTTTATAAACCCATTTGCAACCAATGGATTTCTTGCCAAGTGGGAGTGGCGTCAATGTCAATGTTTGATTGGCTTCAAGAGTAGCGATCTCAGCTTGCATTGCATTTTTCCATTTAGGATCTTGAATGGCTTGCAAAAATGTATTTGGCTCTATTTCAAGAGAAATAGAGGTCGTGAAAGCATGGTGAGAAGTGGCCAAATGATCATAAGAAAGAGGTTACTCAAAGAATAGGGAGTACTAGAAGAAGTTACGAATGTTGAGTCTGATGATTGAGTAGACCGAGACGGGAGGCCACATCCAAGATGAAAATCTCGCAAATAATTTAGAAGCTTGGTAGGTCGAGTGGATTTATGGGTGATTGGTGGTGATGAAATTGGTGAGTTGGATTCATGAGAATTTAAGGGAGAAGAGACATGTTCATTAGATGCATCAAGTGTGGTGTGTGAAGGGGTTTGAGCAGGAAGAGAATTGAGGGGTGAAATGGGTGAGACATTCCCATCTAGGACATCAAGTGGACAAGGTAAGACATGTGGCTACAAGGCTCAATAGAACTTAAAAGAAAAAAGTGATCTTCATGAAAAAGTACATCACGCGATGTGAAAATTTTATGGTTGCCAAGTTCATACAAGCGATACCCTTTTTGTCCATTAGGATAACTAATAAAAATACACTAGAAGGCACAAGCATCAAATTTGGATGGCTTTTGTACATGGGTAGATGCAAAACACAAGCATCCAAAGACTCTCAAATGAGTGTAGGATGGTTTGACCTTAAACAACATTTCATATGGTGATTTTCCAAACAAAATGGGTGTAGAGGTTCTATTGATTAAATAAGTGGCCGTTAGAAGGGCATCTCTCCAAAACTTTTTAGGTAAATGGGTTTGAAAGAGGAGGGCACGTGCTACATTAAGAAGATAATGGTGTTTTCGCTTAGCGACTCTATTTTGTTGAGGAGTAGAATGACAACTAGATTGGTGGACAATTCCCTTTTCTGAGTAATAAATTGGGATGTCAAATTCTTTGCCATTGTCACTACGGATGGTCTTGACTTTTGAAGAAAATTGAGTGTCAACTAGTTGGACAAAAGATATGAGGTGATGGCGTGTTTCAGACTTATGGTGCATCAAATAAACCCATGTACAATGAGTGTAGTCATCCACAATAGTCAAGAAATAACGAGCCCCAAAAATGGAAAGTGTATGGTACCCACCCCAAATGTCAACATGTATAAACTCAAAAGGTGTAACAGATGAAGTTGAACTTAAAGTAAACTGAAGCCTTGTTTGCTTTGCTAAAGGACATATCAAACAAATATCACCATTTGAGGGTTCAATTTCAGAAACATTATTTGAAAGTAGATGCAAAGGTTTATTAGATAAACGCCCTAAACGACGATGCTAAGGTTGCGAGGAAGATGATGTGACAGATTGGCAACTAACTCCCTTTAATGTAGAGAAAAAGTAGAGACCATCATCATCCTCGAGCATTGGTCCTGAATGAGACAAGAATTAAAAAAAATGTTATTGAGCAATGTGAATTTTTGGAAAGTTTGCTGATTGAGATTAAATTGAAATGAAATGAAGGGACACACAAAATATTGGTCAAAATTAGATGAGAAGACAATTTAGTGGAACTAATGTGTGTAATGGGAGCTAATGTGCCATTGGGCAATTTGACAGTTTGATCATGCACTGGAACTGAAGTGGTTGAGTATGATGGCAAGCAAACCATATGATCTGTGGCTCCATTATCTAATGGAATATGTTCAAGAGAAGAGGAGAGACAAAGTGCTTTACCGGACAAGTGAGACATTGTAGATATACTACCTACATGATGTGCCATAGAAGGGGACTTGCTAGCATTGTTTAGGAGAGTCAAGAGTTGTTGACATTGTTCTTGAGTAATATTTATACCATCTGATGATTCCTTGCTATCAATAGAAGGCAATGTGATGTGATTGGCCCTTGCCTTTGAATTTGTATTGGTATTTCCCTTATGAAACCGATGGCCTGGAGGAAAACCAATAATATGATAACAATTCTCGATTATGTGGCCTACCTAGCCACAATGATTGCATCTTGGGCGCTCGTTCTGGCCAACCTTCTTATTTCCTATGTTTTCGTTGTCCTTCCGTTCTTGTACACTTGGCTTCCCTTTTACCAAAAGGGCTGCAACATCTAGGATTAGAGATTTTGTTGTACAAATTAATGTAATTAACTAAAATAAATAGATTCATAATTAATCAAATTAAATTACAGACTAAGAAAATATGTTGGAATTTATAATGATATTGCACAGAAATACACAATATAATAACATGGTAAAGAAAACACAAACCGAAGCCTGTGTGATACCACAGTGTCCTTAAAACATATTAGCCGCCTCATCGTGGATGCTCAAGGTACGTCGACTTCTGTTTTCTAGAATACGACGATTTAAACTGGCTAACGCAGAAGCACCTTCTGTTAGCTTTGGTGAACCGACAATGGTAGCACTCTGTCACACAGAAAGAAAATTATAAGAGAAGACTGACTTGACTATAATCTGAGAGTGAAATTTCTGTGTTGAACCCAAGGGAGATGGGCCTCATTTTATACACAATAGGGGAGAGAGGAGAAACCTTCTAGTTATTAAGGTAGACAACTAATGTCCATGAAGGTTAGCAACCAATGCTCATTACTCCTAGAGTAATGGACCAATTGATGGGGATTCAATGTGTGAGTTGTACACACTATAATATACATATCTGCATATCTGCAGTAGACCTAGCCCAAAAAGAGTAGGTTGGTGGACCACTAATCCGACTTAGCCCAAACCTAACTCATTCCAACAAGCCTCAAGCCTCAAGCCTCAAGCCTCAAGCCCAAGCCCAAGCCCAAGCCCAAGCCTAAGATCTATGATCCACGACCCAAGAATCACGAACCACGGACCTGGACTCGGCCCTATTCGGAAGGGCTGGCAGGCGACGTACGCGCGCGCATGTGGCAATTTTTTCATAACTAACTTGGACCATAGTCTTGGCCCAAGCCCATCCTTGAAGCATCCATAACTCCTTTCCTTCAGAAAATTTGGATGCCTCAAAAGGCTCATGCCCTTATCAAAATCTTGAGGTTTAAATACCCATCAAACCTTTCCTCTACAATCAATGTGGGATTGGTAGTTATATATAATCCTCAATACCTCTTAATGAGGCCAACTTTATGAGACCATTTCTCATTCAATTCTTAATGGTTTTTGATCATTTTTTTTGTAGTATAAAACCCTTGTTACAAAGAATCTAAACCCATTTAATCTCACCTCAACCAATGGTTGAGACCTACTTTAATTTCACATTAAAGTTACCAAAACCCATTTTTTCCCCAACAATCCCCCACATGAATAAAATTGACCGAATAAAGCAAACGGACAACGTTTACAACAAAGACTCGAGGAGAGAGCACACATACTAACCATTCACCAAAAAATGTAGCTGTTGGCCTTGAAACTTTCATAGTAAAAGCCTATCGGATTTACTAACTGACTAGTGAACGTAATGTCTTGAACTGTTCTGTCATTTGTGTAAATCGAGACAATAGACCTCACACAAGAGTTAGTCCAACCATTGTTCTTGTTCTCACTGGTGTGTCCGGTATGGCCCTGGAACACTAGCCTCGTGCAATGAGTGTTTTTAAAGAATTCGACCTTATCAATTCTTAAAGAAGTGGCCCCATTTCTGTGATAACCCTGTTCCGTATTATGTTAATTGGTCCTTATTATGAATATGATTATGTGTTTGATATGATTCTATGTGTCATTTATGTGAAAATATGTGGTTTTGAATTTCTATCTGTTCACCGTAGGAATATCTGTTTGATTACCTGCTTTGGAATTTAAATTGAAGGCCTTATCGGCCACAAAACCCGAAATTGATTACGCCCTTGTGATTAGCATAATTTTTAGAGCCTACGGTGAAATTTCATTGAAAATTGATTCGGATCAAATTAATTATGATGTGCCATGTAAACACAGCTCTATGGACAAAGTTTTAAATTTTGCTTCCGTTTGGCCCATTTACTCTGATGAGTTATGTCTGGTTTGGTTTGAGGCCGTAGGTAATCTCAGGATTATTGGCCGGTTATGTCCTTAACCCACGGGGGCGGGTTCGGGTCGTGACTGTCACGACCCAAACTCGCCCTTAAAAGTTTGGTCCATGACCGGCCTGTACATAGGCCTCAAAACAGAATTTAGAATAATATATAATTACATACAGGGCCTTAAGCGAAAGCAATATCAATAAAAGACAACATCCATTGAGCTTGTGCATACATGATGGTTTAATTAGATTTAAGCGTTAAAATACATTTCCAAATATACATATACAGTCACATAATTTATATAGATCTCACACACACTTACAGAAGATTTAATAGTTTATAAGACTTCCAACACAAATTAAGGCCTCATCACAGAGGCGTACCCCAGGTGGCTCGGCAGACAGGTAGACCTCAATACCACTCTAGTGTTAATCTTCGATGGCTCACCTACATAAATATACACAAAACGGAGTGAGCAAGGTTCAGTGAATAATAGTACGTAAACAATTTAATGATTAACTTGCA